CGTGCACGCCGGTCTGTGCACCATGCCTTCTGTGCACAATCACGGTGTATTGCAGGCATGCCTCCGCACCCTGGCGCCTGCCTGGGCCCCCCGGCCTGCACGTGCTCACGCACGCTCTACATGGCCGTGCGCCCGCCCTCCCGTCTGTCGTTGGCACACTTGTGCTCCCAGGCCCCCTGGGGATCTGCCCACGTCTCTGGCCCCGCGCTGGGAGCTCACTCGCACCAAGCCCTGTGCTCGGAATCCGTACAGGCCAAGCTCCCCGTACCGCAGAGACCGGCGCAAAGCGAGTGACGTGTGCTCAGGTCCGGGCATGGTATAAATCTGTGCCCGCCGCGGCTTTTAAAGTGCCTGTCTGGGTGACGGATTTGGTTGGTGCGAAAATCAATCATCAGGCTCCGTCCACGCCTGCTGCCCCTTGCGTGCTGTCTTTTCATTGGCCGGGCGGCGGAGCCGGTACGCCAGCGTTCCTCTCGGTGTCTGGCCGGATTGCCTTTGTCTTCCCCCGCCGGAGATCTGTGCTCAGCAGCCTCCGTTCCAGGGCGCAGCGGGGGAGACGAAGGCCAGGGGAGGGGCCTTTTACGGGAGTCAGCTGGGCCCTGGCTGGTTCTGGGAGCGCTGGCTTTCCTCGAATCCCTCGCCGCAGGATCCCGCTGCTCCTCGTCCCCCGGCGCCCGCTGGAGTTGGTTTCCTTGGGCGATGGGGATCAGCGCTCGTTCCCAGACACCCCACCTCTGGCACCTCTTCCCTGCATACGGGGAGATCGCCTCTCTCCATGCAACTGCTACTGGGCCGGGCTGCCTCCGCCTGCAGCACCGGTTTGGAATGGATGGCGGGGGATGCAGCCGTGCCCATGGGACCAGGACTCCTCTTTTCGTGGGGAGGTGCTGGCAAGGCTGCAAGGGGCAGGAATTGGACTTGAGCCGTCTTCCACCTAGGGTCTTAATAGCGGGCCCCCTTGCCTGGAATAGCTGCGCCCCTCGCAATCGGGCCGTAGTTCTCCTAATAGGGCAGCGTGCTAGTCCCCTTTCGACAGAGGCTGAGCGACTCGGGCAGAATAAGGGTTGACCTTTCATGTCCTCTCACCGAGGCTAGCGCTGTAACCACTAGGTCATCTTTCCTCTCTGCCTCCCAGCTGACGTTTAATAGCGGGCCCCCTTGCCTGGAATAGCTGCGCCCCTCGCAATCGGGCCGTAGTTCTCCTAATAGGGCAGCGTGCTAGTCCCCTTTCGACAGAGGCTGAGCGACTCGGGCAGAATAAGGGTTGACCTTTCATGTCCTCTCACCGAGGCTAGCGCTGTAACCACTAGGTCATCTTTCCTCTCTGCCTCCCAGCTGACGTCCCCTCCTCCTGTAGCACAGAGCACCCTGTAATGCCCTGCTGGGCCCGGGGGCT